TTACACAATCTGGGATGGCACAAGCTGTTTTGCACAAAGACCATGGAATTTTCCACAGATAGAGCTGCAAGAATTCCAACGTCCAAATTGTGGTTGGTCATTTCAAATCTTCCCCAGAAGCAGGGGTCACCTTCTGATTGGCCAACAGCAGCTTTGCCAAGAAGAAACAAAGCCCTCGGAAACTGTATAAAACAGGCAGTTTTAGTCAAAGCATCACTCCCTGAAGTTAAAATATCTGGACGAGAGAGACGGTGAACAGAACTGTCAACACCTGGCTACTGGGAGTGCCCCCTGTCTGGTAACTACTATAGTCGCTTCTCTGATAATCACCCCATTAATTTTTCCTTTAAAGTCCTGTCTAGGGAGATAGCTGTGAGATCCAGAAAGGGAAGAAGAACACACCTCTCTATCTTGGTGTCTTTTCTCTCCATTGACAGAGTTCCTGGCCAACCTCCAGCCATGAAGATCCTTTACCTGCTCTCTGCTGTTGTCTTCTTGGTGCTCCTGACTGCCCCAGGTAAGATGTCAATGAAAACAAACGATGATATAAGGGGATATCTGGGAGCCATTACTCAGGCTGTCTAACACTTTCTACTAGAAAAATTATTCTAACTTTTTCTTATGATTTCTAGCACCTGCCCCCAAGAAAAACCATTGAGATTTGACTGAATTATGACCAGTCAAAACAAAATCCACATCCCCTCAGTGTTTTCCTCAGAATTTACTGAGGCTTGCTGCATAAGCCACCCCACATTCTATCTGCCCAGCACGTACTGTTCTTGTAATAGGCAATTACAGAACTGAACGTCTGGATGCAATACTGATAAATGAAGTCTAGCCAACCACTTTCAATCTACCCTCGGGTTTGGGAGATGGTGCATAGGGCTAGGAGCCAGGAGACCATGACTTAAATTGTAATTTCTGCTGCTTATTAGTGTTAAAAATTCTGTGCCCTTCACAACCTGACATTACAAAGTGAGGCCACGTAACACTGAGAGGTTACACAGCTAGGAACAAAACCCAGATCTCTAAAATGGCAGCCTCTCATCTCTGTGTCTTAGCCCCACTGTGTCTCAAAACCTTGCACAACAAGGGGTTTGGCTTTTTTAGAGAGAGGATGTCAGTGCACAATGTTTGCAGACATGACAATGAATCATTTAGGGGGTCAGTTTCTATCTGTTAACTGTAGATAGTTTTGTGACAGCACAACAAATGTTCTAAACTAATCAACAAGATTTGGCTGTGCACATTTGAGCTTTATTTTTAAAATAAGGCTCTCCTCAGGTATAATCAAAAACTGGCAATTGCTCATGAGAAAACTATTCTTGAGTGAACCTTCCGAAGAAAATCTGAACAGAATCTCTGAGACAGGCAGGATTTCAAACCAGAAGGGACTTTTTCAAGCCCTTCTCTTTTGATAAGTTGTAGTCACACAAACCAGTCCTATGCCAGTTCACCCTACTTAGCCAAATTGCATTGATGGTACTACCTGGCCCATCACTGTCAGAGCCCGAGAGAATCAAAACCTCACCCCCACCACAAAACCAGTTCTGTCCCTTAAAGGCATGGAGCAGTGAAAGATGCCTGTGCTCAGAGCTATGGTTCTAAACTGCAGCTGGAGAGTCAGCGTCCCTGTTTAATTCTCTTCTTTCAGGCTGCCATTGAACGTGGGTAGAACTGCAACCACGGAAATAGGACTAAAACTGTGATAAACTTTCATACTGGAAGATAGTTGGGCTGACTTGGCCAGATCTTAGTGAATGGGAAATGCCTGGCATCCTGGAATCACAACTGAATTATAATTCTGCAGAGCAGGGGAAATTAAAGACTCTTTCTTTCTTAGGATTCTCCCAGGCTAGATATTCTCCAAAGGGATGTAAACGCCGTGGTGGTTCCTGTTACTTTACGGGATGTCCCTCTAATTCTATGTACCTTGGAAAATGCTGGATTGGCTCTTGCTGTCAAAGGTAAGAGACCCTGCAGTGTGAGCAGGAATGTTCATTACTCTCTTTCCATTTAACACCTGACGAATCCTTCCATCTTTAAAGCAGATCAGCTCTTAGCCCTTTATTTTTCCCCTTTTGAAAACCAGGGGAGGTAATTATAAAAATCTTGGTGATGTCAATATGAACATTGTTCTGAGTGAATGTGAATGGTTTAAGCATGAAGGTCCCTCTGTGAAGTTAACTCGGCCACATTGCAAATCTGCAGCCCGTCCTATTCCTGTTCTTTGTGACTGGAGGTGCCATAAATTATACAGGCCACTCAGCTAGTCACATTAATGTTGCAGCAGGAACAGGTCCTAGAGAAACAGTTAGGAGGGTGAGAGACTTTCCCACCCACTAAAACACCTGAGAGGCCACTTGGAGATTTGATGCTGGGAGCTACTTGGGCCTGCAGAGCGGGAACCAGGGATCTGGGCTGGAGTGGCCTTGCTGCCAACTGCAGGGCTGCTCTCCTGGCCAATTCACTGAGCATGCCCAGAGATCTGTGCTATCACCAGGCAGGGCTGCTAGCATGGAACTGCCACCAGATCCGAGTCAGGCTTCAGGCAGAATTAGAGTTCCCCTGCATTCCTTCAGCGTTAGTGATCTATCACCTAAATAAGTTTCATTTTACCTTCAGTTGTAGACAAGGTGTGTTTGATAGAACAAGCATACGTGGATGTGTCATGCTTTTCTGACGTATGCTTGTTATAGACAGTGATTTCACCCATTTAGATAGCTATCCCCATTAAATCTCTCTGACTGAATGTTGCAGTAGCTACAATGGATTCATTGTGCTCAGGTTAAGCAGGAATCTCTTCACTCACCGTTCAGTGACTGGGCAATTCCTCCTGTGCCTTTGATTTGAAATCAAACATCACATTAGCCCTGTTCTATGGGACAACATCAAAAAATCCGATTCTCTTTCCTTTGTACAGGTTTATCAACTGATTGTCTAGGCAGGATCTCTGGGAATCTGGCAGAGATCCACTTGCTTCTAAAATCATCAGATCCTGGTTCAATGGAACCCTGAAGTGCTGCTTATTTGGGATATAAATAACCTTGTGAGCTGGAGAAATTCCAGAAAGAAGCTCTTGTATCACCATATAACATTTGTTACTCTTCTTTTAATAAAAGCAAGCTGGTTTAAGATCATATTACTGAAGTGTGTGTGTGTGTTTCTGGGAGTCAAGGGAGCTGTTTCTATCATTCTTCTCCTTATGAAATCTAGTTTGTTTATCTTTTTAAAATTAAAAATAAAATGAAATACTCTAAAAAGTCCCTATCATATGTTAATACCACGCAAGGGTATTTATAGGCCATGGTCCACACATCTCTGTAGGTATCAATGAGCTCCTGTGGGTAGATCTTTATCTCTTACAGTAATTAAAATCCTATCCATTTGTGGTGTCACAGGAGCTGGGTCAGTCCCAGCTTGACTGTATGGTGTGTAACCCTCACCATGGTGCTCCATTGAACCTAGACCTTCCCTCTACTTTGAACCTCATTGTCCACAATGAGGAGAACAGAGGAAATCAGACCAAGATGTTTTAAGCTCTGAGCCCTGATTCTGCTCCCTGTTACACTGAGGCTATGTCTACACTACCATGGTAAGTCGACCTACACTACGCAACTCCAGCTACATGAATAACGTAGCTGGAGTCGATGTACCTTAGGTCAATTTACCGTGGGGTCTTCACCACGGGGGGGTCAATGGGAGAAAATCTCCCGTCGACTTACCTTACTCTTCTCGTCAGGGGTAGAGTACAGGGATCGACTGGAGAGCGATCTGCAGTTGATTTGGCGGGTCTTTACTAGACCCGCTAAATCAACCACCAGTGGATCAATCTCAGAGTGTCGATCCCTGCCATAGTGTAGACCTGCCCTTAGGCAGAGGCTGACTTTTCTTGATTCTCTCCATTATATGTAGGATCACCAGATAGCAAGTATCATAAACATACAGCTAAGGGTAGCATAAAATCCCTCTTTACCCTGTAAAGGGTTAATTCCTCTTTTACCTGTAAAGGGTTAAGAAGCTCAAGTACCTCGCTGGCACCTGACCCAAAGGACCAATAAGGGGACAAGATACTTTCAAATCTGGAGGGGGGAAGGGGATTTTGTTCTGTCTGTTCCATGCAGCTTTGGCCGGAGCAAGGTCAAAGAAGCAAGCAATCCAACTCCTATAGAGTTAGTAAGTATTTAGCAAGGAAATGCATTAGATTTACTTTTATTTTGGCTTGTGATTTCCTTTGTAGGAGGAGGGAGGTTTATCCCTGGTTTTGTAACTTTTTTTAACTGGTTTTGCCTAGAGGGGAGATCCTCTGTGTTCTTGAGTCTTTTGTTATTCTGTAAAGTACTCACCATCCCGATTTTACAGAGGTGATTCTTTTGCCTTTTCTTTAATTAAAATTCTTCTTTTAAGAACCTGATTGATTTTTCATTGTTTAAGATCCAAGGGTTTGGGTCTGTGTTCACCTGTACCAACTGGTGAGGATATATTCTCAAGCCTCCCCAGGAAAGGGGGAGTAGGCGTTTGGGGGATTATTCTCAAGCCTGTCCAGGAAAAGGGGTGTAGCGTTACTTAATCCAAGGTACAAGGAAGGATCTGTGCCTTGGGGAGTTTTTAACCTAAGCTGGTAGAAATAAGCTTAGTGGGTCTTTCATTCGAGTCTCCACATCTGTACCCTAGAATTCAGAGTGGGTAAGGAACCCTGACAGCAAGTGTGAAAAATCAGGACACTTTTTTGGAGGGTGGGGGAAGGAAGGTTTTTGTCTATATAAGACAAAGCTCCTAATATCGGGATGGTCCTGATAATATTGGGATGTGTGGTCACCCTAGTTATATGTCACAAAAGTCCAACAGGCTCAGCTGAGAAACAGCAGGTTCCTATTTCAAGGCTGATGCTCAATTAGAAGGAGCATCTTTCTGCTGGGGCTGTCATCTAGTGGTTGAGAGCCAGGAGTGCCAGTGAAAGACACTTTAGAAGTGTAATTAGATCATGGATTTTGAGCCCTTGACCTCTCCCTTTTCCAGCTGTACAGAGCTTATCAGCTCTCACATCCTCAAAGGGCATGTCTACACTGGAGGTGGAGGTGTCATTTGCAGCTCATGTCCACCTATCTATACAAGCTTTGCGTGAGCTGGTGCAACAGAAACAGAAGTGTAACCATGGCAGAGCAAATGGTGGAACTAGCTAACCGCTCCCAGTATGATCCCATCTGAAATTTGGATGCATTCTCAGGGTGGCTAGTCAAAATTCCACCTCTACTTCCAGTAGACATAGCCTTAGGGACACTTGTGCTTTAGTGTGCTTCCCTGTCTCCTGTTGCTGTAGCCACCGGAACTCTGCTGGAGCAGAAGTTCATGGGTAGCCAGGCTTAGCATTTTTGTACCTAGTAATACACACATGAGAGGACAGGGTCCCAGAGACCAGGCTCCTGCCTGAGTGCAAACAACTACACTGCAATTTTAAACCCCACACCCAAGCCTCGTGAGCCCAAGTCAGGTGACCCAAGCCAGCCAAGGGTCTTTAATTGCTGTGTAGACATATCCTTTGAGTCTGTCACTAAAAGGCATGTTTTCTAATCCTTTAATCAGTCTTGTGGCTCTAATCAACATCCTCTTGGAACTATGGACTCCGGGACTAGACACAGTATTCGGCCAGTGCAAAATACAGAAGTCAAATAATCTCTCCACTTCTACTCGAGATTCCCCTGTTTATGCATCCCAGGATTGCATTAGCTCTTTTGGCCACAGCTTCACACTGGAAGTTTATGTTCAGCTGATTATTGGCCACCACCCCCAAGTCTTTTTCAGAATCACTCCTTACCAGGATAGAGTCCCCCATCCTGTAAGTAGGGCACACTTTCTTTGTTCCTAAGAGTTTAAAGGGTTCTAGGAGCCATTTGACCCTCCCCATCCAATTTTTAAAGACAGAAGTGACTAGACTCAACTGAGAGTCCTGGTTCTTTCTCAGATCACTACAGCTGATATCAATGATAATCTGAACTAAGGGGGCAGTGTCCTAGTGTGGAGACAGTGCTGCAGTGAAATGACAACACAGAATAAGCAGCAGCAGAGACATTTCCACTACCCAGTGAAATCACAAAGAGCTGAAGTCACTAAGAACTGGGCTCGGTGGTGGAACCTCAGAACACAGCGAGCAGCTGGGGGCATCAGTGACAGTGGCAGAGATGCCGACAGAGACAGCGACAGCAGCAAGCCGTGGCAGTGACAATGGCCAAGAGAGCGGTAGAGACATTGACAAGAAGTGGCACAGACCACAGCAACAGCAGTGACCAGAGATGGAGGCATCACTCAAACCCCCCTTTACCCCGGAGGCAGGAGGTCCCCTGGACTCTGGGACAGCACTGACCTCAGATAGCCAACCATGAGTGGGATACACAGAAGGGAAATGGGGAGCGGCGTGTTCAAGGACTTTCAGTGGGAAACTGAGGCAAAGGACTATTGCCCAAGATACTGCAGAGTGGGTCTTTTACTTATTGTTTGCTTTCTTTCAAGTCATTCTTGCAGCGTTCTCCCAGATTCATGCTCAATTTTCTTCTCTTAATAACATTTACTTCTCTTATATACACTCTCAGTACTTGCGATTGGGGAACTAGTCCCTCTAAGAGGGGCCTCAAGGTGGTGGGTTTTATCCCAGATTTCTGGGTGGGGGTTCGAACTGGTTCTGCTTCACAGTGATAAGAGGTACCCCTGTTACTGCTGACACCACCTGGCAGAAGGGTTACAGGAGGAATAAAGAGCTGCACACATGAGATCATTGAAACATACAGAGATGTCAAGTATCAGAGGGGTAGCCGTGTTAGTCTGGATCTGTATAAAGCAACAGAGAGTCCTGTGGCACCTTTTAGACTAACAGAAGTATTGGAGCATAAGCCTTCGTGGGTGAATGCCCACTTCGTCAGACGCATGTCATGCGTCTGACGAAGTGGGTATTCACCCACGAAAGCTTATGCTCCAATACTTCTGTTAGTCTTAAAGGTGCCACAGGACT